GCCCAGAGCATTATTACTCGGCAGAAATAAAAGCATGAGGCAACCATGCAAAGTTTTTARATTTTAAACTCACAAAGGAGCAACATTTCAAGTGTCATTCATCCCAGAACTCAGAGAAGCTTTTGTTTAACCACCTTTCTCACTAAAGGCTACCTTTTCCCTCTGTTTTAGTGTACTGTGGAAGATGATGAGGGTTAAAGTGATGTTCTTAAMAATATTTACCTCCAAATGATCCCATCTTTCATTATTCAAGTCCCTGAGAAGAGGGATGAAACAGGCCATGAAAAACCTAGGCTCATGTACATGAGCTCTTCCATCAGGCAATRCTACAAGTAAACAATGGGCAGGAAGAAGAGGCCTCTCTCTACTGTTCTGCTAATGCTCTTCTAGACTCTTCTAGCTAAACATAAAAGAAAGAGATGCAGAGAAATGCCCGGCACAGAAATGAAACTATCTTTCTAGTGCYTGAGATGTTGACAGCATCTGAGCTGATTAATTAATATCAGTAAAGCCCACTGAAAAAGGTTAAAAGAACACTTTAACATTCAGTGATATTATTGTGATCATTAGGATGGCATATTTCTGTCTTTGCTAATGAATCAGCTCAATAAACTGATGCAGAGTGCAATTTTTCAATTACATTTTCATAAACAGATGGCAGAATTTAATAAATTAATGTTTATAATAATGGTACAGTTATGAGGCTTGTACTTTTATGTATTTTGCTCTGAAGCTTTTGATACTAAATCTCAATAATGCCAATCTCCTTAGTTCAGAGTAGCTTTATGTTCCTAGGTTGCTGTATAATGATCTCTGRTCTTTCACTGTAAAGTTATGGGTGACTAGGTAGTAAGTTTAGTTTATTAAATAATGGGGATAATAATCTGTTTGTCAGATTTCAGAGACATTTTAACAAAAGCTTAACCCCCCTGATGAATATTCTTCTGAACCAAAACACACAGTTGCAGGGCAGAAATGATACTTAAGCACTATTGCAGAATGCATCTTTTGTTCCTAAATTTTATTTCTAACAGGGGCTAAATGATGCCCCATTTAAAACATTTTCAATTCGCAGAGTCCACATGTGGCCACATCCTCKGATTGCCAGACACAGTGTATGTTTCAGAAAGCTAAACCTCATAAATCTCCAGAAATTCCTCACATCTATTATGTTTACCTTCTGCTGCTGATGAGCCTGTTGGGCTCTGTACAGAGGAAATTACAAGCACTCCAGAAGATTTGGCAAGAAGATGCTAGGAGAAACAACGGGCAAAARAAATTCTTAACTGAAATATCACATCCAGCTTTGGCTACCATTTACATATCTGAGATTACAGCTAGTAAAATGGAAATTCCATCGAAATGGAATAAATTGTTTTCAAAAATCCCTGTCTGATTAGTGTTAGTTATGTCTGAAATTAAATGTGTTAAGCTACACCCAATGTAAGTTATGGACTCCAGCTGAAGGTCTAACATTCATACTGAAATTTGGTCTATTTACACACTTTTTGAATTAAGAACAAAAGGCAGTTGTATCTGAGAGTTTTTTTTGCCTATCATCTTCTAGCTCATTTCTATTAATCTATATTACAAAATGTCTTCCTTAACTTAATAGATGTTTGCAGACTGTGGTAACAGCTGTTAACTAGTAAGGAAATGCCAGCCGAAATATTTTATGGTCACACGTTTAAATACCACTGGAAACTAGTTTATAGTTAATGCCAACTGAAATGGTTATATTCTAGGCATATTTTTCATAGTGATCAAAAATTAGTTGTTCAAAAATCTCCCCACTTAATYCTTGACGGGGCCGAGGGCCAAAGAAAATTAAATTAGTTAATCACAGGAYGAAAATGAAGTTGCAAGTTTAAAAATTTTTCTGCTGAATAAAATGWTTGTTAACTGTGTTGCACACCCACATGTACACATCTTGCTCAGCCACAAACAACTCTGAAATAAATACCTGGAGTTTAGTAATGCCATTTAAAAGGAAGGAAATCTATTCTTAAATTCCTGGCAGAGTAACTACATGGATGTGTTCTCCCGCAGATCCATGCCTTCCTACCTGACAACAGCTGGGGTGGAAGGGCTCAAACCCAGCCTGGGCTACTGAATACCCTGAAGGATGAGGTCACAGGAGGGATTTTTATCAAATTCTTGTATGTGAATAATCTTACAGAACTAGAAATGGTTGCTTCCATCTCTACACAAAAGGGTAAAAGTCACAGCAAAATCTTTCTTACGAAAGAGAAGTGAAGAAATTCTTTGGATTATATATGCACTGTATGACTGTACACCCTCCAAAAACAAGTCATAAGAGAGAACTATCAGGTTTTGGAAACTAAACAAAAGTCTGCTCYTAATCTGGTGTCTTAACCAGATTCACAACCTTGGAGTATTCCTGCTCTTAAATCACCCAGGACAAGACTGTCTGGCTAGTGGTACAGAAACATAGAGTAAAATGGTAACCTGTGATACCAAAAACCAAAATATTTACAAAGCCAATGTATAAAAGTCATATCTGACATAGCTGAAAGAAAAATCCATTCCTTTAATACAGTTAGAACAATGAATATGGTGTTGGTCGCTTTTTAACCCAGAGATCTCACAAGATGTTAATGCCAATTATTATAAATAAACCTGCATGCCTTGAATATTGCCATTACTGGGACTAACTACTGCCCCGKATTAATTATACCCACTAAACAATACACAAAATTTTAATAACATTC